CATCAAGAATATCTGACACCAGGTGAGAAGTGTATCCTTTTCATACATTCATCACTACACTGAAACACTGTCACTTTTATACATGCAACATAATATGTATAGCACGATCTACAACATAATATACATACTCTGTGTGCGTGTGTGCATGTGTGTGTGTGTATGTGAATTCAGTTTGGCTCCCTGAATTCTTAATTTGCTTTTATCTTGCATTTTATCATTTCATTTTCTTACATGTCTCATGCTTTGTTGTGATATTTGCCGAGCAAGAACTTCCATTTTTCTTTTCCCATAATTTATTTAGCTAACTTCTATATTTTCTCCTTTATATGAACTTAAAAGTTAACTTGTCAAGTTGCATAAAAATGTCTTGAAATTTTTATTAGAGTTACATTAAATTTATCAGTTTGGGGAAAATTGCCAGATCGAGTGTACCCTTTAGAAATACCATCATCTTGATGTATTTATATATTTTTATATCCTCAGATAAGAATTTCCAATTTTTTTCATTTAGCACAGATTAATTATCACAATTTGGCAAACTCAGACAACTGAGTTGGACAACTTTTCTTTCAATTTATAGACCCACTTTATGCCATAGGTCCTAGCTCTTTCTTTAAAAAGTCATAGTACTCATCTTTTAAATTGGATCTGGTTCATTTTCAGTAGAGTTCTTGTGCTCGCTTTGGCAGCACATATACATTTTCAGTAGAGTTCTTAGACTAATTTTACTTTTTCTCTTGATGCATTTTATCGCTTGAGTTAATTTTGGCCATATTTTCTGAAAACAGTACCTACTTCATGGTGTTCTTCTATCTCATTGGCCAAATCCTTTGCAGTGGTTTCTTAATTCTCTTTTCAACTCTGTAAAGAGAATTAAGGCTTTAATTCTTTACAGGCTCTCTTCTCGCCAATTCTTGAAGCCCACTGACTTGACCACTGATTATCCCAGATGTGACTGACTTCTGGGTACCAAGTATTAGGAGCTAACAACTGTTTGTTGCCATCACAGAAGGAACTGGCAGTGGGGACGTCTCAAGACGATTCCAAATGTCCACACTCATTTGACAAGTCTATATACAGTCTACTCAGCCCTCTCTGGAAGCAGCTGAGCTTCACTTGAGAGCTATCCACTTATCCCTTCTTCGAATGAGCTCCCAGTTATTCTTGGTAGGTTCTACTCAACACACCTCCATATTTTGTGTCCCTTTTCATTTCACTGTCTCCTAACTGCTTAGAGGGTGGAGCTATACCAAAAGCCACAAACAGCATAAAGGCTGTGAGCAACAAGGAGAGGATGGAGTGTGTATGGAGGAGCAGCTGCCCACCCAAGAGTGAGAATCTGCCTGCATAAAGCCACAAAGCTACTTGTACGGTTAACAATAGTGGCGATAACCCTATATGCAAAACAGAAAAAGAGACACAGATGTACAGAACAGACTTTTGGACTCTGTGGGAGAAGGCGAGGGTGGGATGTTCTGAGGGAATAGCATTGAAACAAGTATACTATCAAGGGTGAAACAGATCACCAGCCCAGGTTGGATGCATGAGACCAGTGCTCAGGGCTGGTGCACTGGGAAGACCCAGAGGGATGGGATGGGGAGGGAGGCGGGAGGGGGGATCGGGACGGGGAACACATGTAAATCCATGGCTGTTCATGTCAATGTATGGCAAAAACCACTACAATATTGTAAAGTAATTAGCCTCCAACTAATTAAAAAAAAATAGTGGCTTCTAGGTTATCACTAATGTGCCCGGCACCAGTTACTGCTGCTGCTGCTGCTAAGTCACCTCAGTCGTGTCCGACTCCATGCGACCCCAGAGATGGCAGCCCACCAAGTTCCGCCGTCCCTGGGATTCTCCAGGCAAGAACACTGGAGTGGGTTGCCATTTCCTTCTCCAGTGCATGAAAGTGAAAAGTGAAAGTGAAGTCGCTCAGTTGTGTCCAGCTCTTAGCAACGCCATGGACTGCAGTCTACCAGGCTCCTCCGTCCATGGGATTTTCCAGGCAAGAATATTGGAGTGGGGTGCCATTGCCTTCTCCAGCAGTTACTGTGTGTTGCTCAGTTCAGTTCAGTTGCTCAGTCATGTCCGACTCTTTGTGTGTTGACGTGACTGTAATTCTCACAACAGTCATAGTTATGACACTCTTATTATCTCCATTTTATGATTGGAGAAGCAAAGTTCATATGGATTATATAACTTTGCTAACAAAGCTAGAAGCAGAGTCACAGCCCAACATTTTTGGCAAAACTGATTTCTGACTTTTGGACATCAAACAAAGAGCCCAGAGATTTTGAAAGAAAAAAAAAATCAAGTCTATAAATTAATAACTGTCATTTAGTCATTTGCAAAGTTTCCCATTCCTCTGTATCAGGAAGTGAGAGAAAGTGTGAACATTTTTGTCATAAATATCACTGGGAAGATAGCATTTGTAGGATTCTGTGGGTGTTTGAGAAATCACTTCTTTATGTCAATACCTGGGAACACTGAGTATATGGGAAACTATAAGGCCATCATTCTGCATAAAAGTGATGAATATTCAGTAGCTTTCTACAAAAATCTGACATTGGTCTATGGTTCCAAAAATTAACATTTTTTGTAAATGAGAGATTTCAAGTTATAGTTTGTGAACAAGAAACCCATAGAAACAAATTGGGCACCACCTATGCTAAGAGTGGACTGATCTCAACAAAATCAGCAAACATGAAGAGTGAGACATCACCTCTGCCACTCCTTTACACGGATGCCTCCCTATAGCCCACTGTTGAGAATTCCAGATTACCTGATGGAGAAATTAAGAATGTAGCCTCTGGGTTCAAATTAGGCAAGGTACCCTGCCTGAGTAACTTCTGCATCTCCCAAAAGGATATAATGATTATATCTTCCTCACAGGGTCATGGAGAGATTCAACATGATAATGCTTGTGAGGTACTTAGCCCTATGCTTGGCATAGAGCAAGTACTAGTTTATAGAAGCAATTATCTATTTATAATCCTCATTGGAAAAGACCCTGACGCTGGGAGGGGTTGGGGGCAGGAGGAGAAGGGGACGACAGAGGATGAGATGGCTGGATGGCATCACCAACTCGATGGACATGAGTCTGAGTAAATTCCAGGAGTTGGTGATGGACAGGGAGGCCTGGCGTGCTTCGATTCATGGGGTCGCAAAGAGTCGGACATGACTGAGCGACTGAACTGAACTGAACTGAATCATCATTAATCAGAGAAGGTAGGGATGGAAAGCAGAGGGACTGAACACTACAAAGACTTGAATAGCGTCCTCCATTCCAGACAGGCATTGGTTCCCAGGTTGATTAGGGCAGCTGAAGGATGGACATCCAATTCAAATGCTTTTAAATAAAAGGGAGGGGTCATCATCTGATACTACCATACTGTAGAAAGGAGGATCCTTCCTTCCCAACAACCGTAAACCCTCAAGAGCCTCAGGCCTCACTCCATATTCTATGAGTCTCTCCCCTCCCCACCTTCATCTCCCCAGGCTGCTTCTCCTTCAGGAAGGACCACGACTGTCAGCAGCTAACAGCTTCCTCATCTCAAGCTTGAAGCTGCAGACAAGCAAGCTTCCTCTCTCCACAGTGCAGTGAGAAAAGTCCTGGGAAGGTCACAACAGGTCTTGAGTGGGTCTCAAACCCACTTCTGGAAGATGAATCTTATTACCAGAAGAAGGAAAAATGGAACGGAAAGAATTATGAAAACAATATATACATTTCAAATACCTCCAATCAAAAATATGGCTCAATTTGGCACATTAGTATGTGTCTGGGTCTATAAATGCCCTCAGAAAGAATTTCTGTAATTATAACCATAAATTAAAAAAAAAAACAAAAACTATCTGCCAGGTCTGAAAAGACTGCCATGTCTATTTCCTCAGAAAGTCATTTTCTCATGAGAAGCAAGACAATATTTAAGAGGAAAATTAAATAAATTTATAAGGATAACACAACAGAAGTGTTTTCACTGCTTGTAATTTATAATCTGCCTGATAATTCACCTCACAGGGTTTCTGGGTTTTTTTGTAAAATTTTATGTCCAGCTGAGGATTCATCACTCCAAGATTAGCTTAGGTGAAGTTCTCACCACATTTAAAATTGACTTTCACTCCTACAGAGAGGCACTGATGAGTCCTTCTCCATAATGCCATCAAATAATAAAAGCGTGAGAGCCATGCTGAGTAAACAAGGTTTTTCTGCAAGTTCCTGTTGGGTCTGGCAGGGGATGGTGAGTGCCTTGGGCAGGAAGAGGCATGCAGGAGACACTAATTAACAGTGACAGCCATGACAGTAGCTTCCCCACCCCCACATCTATTTAGAGCACAAAAGGGAACCCAGCCCTCAGAAAAGAAGAGTATCTGTAATGACTTTTAAGAGAGAATTTAGTGAGGGTGTTAGGAGACATTGCTTCTTAACATTTAGTTATTAAAAACTGTCATTGATGATTTTGCTTTTTCTCATTTCTGCTCAGGCAACAGCATAAACTTTTATGCTAGAATAATTCACTTAGAGTCAGGCAATCAACTCAACGGTATTGGCAGCCACAGGCTGCCCTGATTGGGAAGGCTTTTAATATCTTAAACCTTTTTAAGGAAGCTCATAAGAAATGATCATAGATATTTCTGTGATTTTTAGAATAATCTGTGTTTTGAACTTTATTATAAAATGTAACTTAATAATACCTATTTTACAGTTTGATGTTAGATGGGGGTTGTTTGGAAATCCCTGTTTTGATTATGATTTGAAAGACTCACTGTTTAATAATGAAATAAATCAAGATGACAAATATTCATTCATTCAATACTTACATTGCTCTCTGTTGTTTAAACGCTGTCATCCACTTTAAGCATCTTAAGTTTGTCCTGAGAGGAGTCTGTACTTCCAGGAAGAAACAGTGGCCAGTGCCTGGCACTGAAGAACTTGGAATGTTTCAACTCAGTTCCATTCATCAGTGTCACAATATCTTACACTCTACCTTCATCACTGGTTTATTTCTTAGTATAGAAGGTAAACACTTTTTTATGGGGTAAAATGACTAGTCTTAATTTGCCTTAGAAACACAAGATGAAAGGTTCTGAAAGGTATATATCTTTTTTAATTTCTAACTTTTAGGAAATATTTTACATGTCTATTCTTTTCATAACCAGATTCTACTTTCTCTGATTTATGGGAAACTTAGATTCTGGATGGAAATCAAGGCTTCATAATTTTTCTGGATTCCTGGTTTTGTGTTTCTCACTGTTAGAGAAATAATGTTTCCTCTTGTTGTAGATGTGAAAATAAATTGAATGAAGTTGTAATTTTATATGCAGTTAATAATACAAAGGATATAATACTGTATAATACTAGATATTGATCATAAAGACCTGTTGGTTGGTGGAGTTGGTACAGTGTAAATAGAAAGTAGAATCATGGGTAGCAGATACGATGCTTTGATGGTCAATTTGAGAAAATCCTCAGAGACTGAGTGAAAATTTGAGATTTTACCTATCTCAAAATCTAAGAAAAAAAGTAAGAAGATTGAAGAGTGACAGAAAGAAATATTTCCTTAAGAGACCTAGCCAGAGGGTAAATCTGTGATTATATAAAAACCTGGGAGGAGGCTAGGGTGGGATGTTTCAAGAGAACAGCATTGAAACATCTATATTATCTATGGTGAAACAGATCACCAGCCCAGGTTGAATGCATGAGAGAAGTGCTTGGGCCTGGTGCACTGGGAAGACCCAGAGGGATCGGGTAGAGAGGGAAGTGGGAGGGGGGACCGGGATGGGGAATACATGTAAATCCATGGCTGATTCATGTCAATGTATGACAAAGACCACTACAATATTGTAAAGTAATTAGCTTCCAACTAATAAAAATAAATGAAAAAAAAAAAACCCTTCAGTGGTCTTGTTATTTCCTCCTCAGATGCCTGGATGCCTCCCAACAGGAAATTTGTTCTGATGACTTTTAATTCTTAAAATGAAAAAGTCTTGAAGAAAAAATAATTGCTTTGAGAGTTTAAGAATGTATAAGATTTTAATGCTGAGAAATAATTTAATTGAGTTTTTAAAAATCTGAATTAATTCATGTCTTGAAACAGTCTGTTGTTTTGGCCTCAGTAATGATGACAGCTGGTAATTAGCTACACTATGTGATTTCCAAGCACTGCGATGTAAGGGCTTCATTCTAAGATGAAAATAAAAGGTAATTTAAAGCATATATGGTGACAAAAATCTACTATGATTTAGTGAGACATTAATTAGAATGTGCTATTATTTATGAAGAACGAAGGACACAAATGTATGAAAAATGTTATTTCTGCAGACAATGCTTACTTAGTTTTATGTGAATTCATGGGAATTTTGATCATTTTCTGAGGGTCTCCAGGGCTCACTGAATCATAGATAGGTAGTCATTTCTTCTGGGTTACTTGTTCCCAGCAAACATAAAAAAATGTGATAGCTTCACACACGTGCCTAGAAATTTGGCTTTCAGAATATTTAAGAATGAGTGATAACCATTTGATATTCAGGTTCATACAGGGTAAGTTTTTCACATCTTCAATGGAAGCTGACAATGGAAAAGAAAAGGAGGAAAAAAGAAACAGAATTCCCTCCTTGCACATGAAAGTCTCATAGATGTGACAGGATTGGCTATCCATTCACTAGACTTGCATTCTCACAGAGCACATAGCTAGACTGTATTTTCATTCTCCCTCTGCAATGAGACATATCCATGTGACTGTGTTCTAGAAAGTGGAATGTCAGTAAAAGTGGTATGTGCTCCCTCCAGTCCCAGCACCTTCAAGCTTGCCAGGTGTGATTCTCCAAGCTGTTTCCTCTTCCAGCAGGCTGGGATGCAGACAACATGGGGTGTGGCCTTGAAAATGGCAGAGCCACCAGTGGAATTATTGTTACCTGAATGAACATTTCAGAGGGATCTACCCACCAATCAAGAACATCAATTTAGAAATTATGTGAATCACAAATGAGTTTTTATTGCATTCAAGTCATTCTGTTTCGAATTTTCTTATGTTTGTGACCTTAACTAATATACTATGTGATAAATATTGAATTACTCTTTTTTTTTTTTTTACTTATTTATTTTTTTTATTTTATTTTTTTTTAATTATTTATTTATTTATTTATTTATTTATTTTTATTTGTTGGAGGCTAATTATTTACAACATTGCAGTGGTTTTTGTCATACATTGAAATGAATTAGCCATGGATTTACATGTATTCCCCATCCCGGTCCCCCCTCCCACCTCCCTCTCCACCCGATCCCTCTGGGTCTTCCCAGTGCACCAGGCCCGAGCACTTGTCTCATGCACCCAACCTGGGCTGGTGATCTGTTTCACCCTAGATAATATACATGTTTCGATGCTGTTCTCTTGAAACATCCCACCCTCGCCTTCTCCCAGAGTCCACAAGTCTGTTCTATACATCTGAGTCTCTTTTTCTGTTTTGCATATAGGGTTATCGTTACCATCTTTCTAAATTCCATATATATGTGTTAGTATACTGTAATGGTCTTTATCTTTCTGGCTTACTTCGCTCTGTATAATGGGCTCCAGTTTCATCCATCTCATTAGAACTGATTCAAATGAATTCTTTTTAATGGCTGAGTAATATTCCATGGTGTATATGTACCACAGCTTCCTCATCCATTCGTCTGCTGATGGGCATCTAGGTTGCTTCCATGTCCTGGCTATTATAAACAGTGCTGCGATGAACATTGGGGTGCACGTGTCTCTTTCAGATCTGGTTTCCTCGGTGTGTATGCCCAGAAGTGGGATTGCTGGGTCATATGGCAGTTCTATTTCCAGCTTTTTAAGAAATCTCCACACTGTTTTCCATAGTGGCTGTACTAATTTGCATTCCCACCAACAGTGTAAGAGGGTTCCCTTTTCTCCACACCCTCTCCAGCATTTATTGCTTGTAGACTTTTGGATAGCAGCCATCCTGACTGGCGTGTAATGGTACCTCATTGTGGTTTTGATTTGCATTTCTCTGATAATGAGTGATGTTGAGCATCTTTTCATGTGTTTGTTAGCCATCTGTATGTCTTCCTTGGAGAAATGTCTGTTTAGTTCTTTGGCCCATTTTTTGATTGGGTCATTTATTTTTCTGGAGTTGAGCTGGAGGAGTTGCTTGTATATTTTTGAGATTAATCCTTTGTCTGTTGCTTCGTTTGCTATTATTTTCTCCCAATCTGAGGGCTGTCTTTTCACCTTGCTTATAGTATCCTTTGTTGTGCAAAAGCTTTTAAGTTGAATTACTCTTAACTACTGATGACTCTAATGCCTTTGTGATTTTGTAAAGTCTAGGGCATGGTGAGTAAAATTAACCTCTTCTACACATCTTCGGTATAAAATTTGCAGTCTCTGGGTACCATTAGGGTATCTTCGATGTGAGGCATAACATGCATACATTTTGCATATATTGGCTCCTGTGTTTTTAGATATTTTTACTGAAGGAAGATGTATAGGCAAATTTGTAACAATTAGGCATATAATACAATGAGTTTCTGTCAAATATTTTTAATCATATAACCAACACCCACACCAAAATGAAGAACATTCCCATGATCCCCCAAAGATCCCACATACTGCTTTCCAGTCAACCCCAAGCCACTCTTCCTCCCATAAGCAACCACTATGGATTTCTAACACCACAGATTAATTCTCTCTACTTTTGAACTTTAGGTGAAATGGAATTATACCACTATACTCTAATGTAGGTTTGGCTTCTTTTGCAAAGTGTAGTTTTTAAGTTACTTCCATGTTGTGTGTCTATCAGCAGTGAATTCTTTTTTATTGCTAAGTAGTATTTCATTAAGATGAATATACTGCAATAATTTATTAATCCTTTTATTGATGGATATCTGTGTTTTTTCTAGCTCTGAACTATTATAAATACTCTTGTGTAAGTTTTTTAAACATATATTTTTTATTTCTCTTGGGTATAGTCTGTAGTAGACTTGCTACATCAGAGGATAGACATTATGCTTCACATTTTAGAAAGATATTTCCAAAGTGCAATAACTCAAGGTTCTAGTTATTCCATGTATTTACCAATAGTTGGTGTTGTGAACTTCTTTATATTTTGGCTATTCTGGATGTGGAACTATATATTTTATATACATATATCATATATATATTTATATATTTTACTTTTAATTTGCATTTAGCTAATGCTTAATACTAATACTAATATTTCCACTTGATTACTGATCATTAATATATGATCTTCTGCAAAGTTCAAATATTTTAACCATCTTTGGAGTTTTTTGTCTTTTTATTATGAATTAGTAAGATAGCATTAGTATATTGGATATAAATCATTTGTATATTACCAAGAATATTATTTTCAGTATATGTTGTGCCTTTTTGTTTTTTTTTCATGATGTATTTGATAAACAGGATATTCTAGTATTGATGATAATCAGTCTATCATTATAAAAGATTTTATGTTTAGTGCTTTTCTGTATATATCCTATTTGCAAAATTTCTGCCTTTCCCCAAATCATGAAGATATACTCTTTTATCTTCTTTCAGAAAATTTATAGCTAAGTCTAGGTCTATTTTCTGCTTCAAATTAATTTTCTATATGGTGTGACATGGGGTTAAAATTTAGTTTTTCCCATAAAATTATATAGTTGGTCCATGACCTTTTTTTTTAAAGCATCTCATTTTCCATTAAATGGCTTCAACATATTTGTCAAAAAAAGTTAGACCATAAATATGAAGGTCTGTTTCTAGACTTTATATTTTATTTATCTTTTTACCTATTCTTACCCAATACCAATTCCATTGGTTATTATGACTATAATTAGTACGTAAATCAGGAAGTGTAAATTCCATAAATTTGTTCTTATTTTTCAAGATTTCTTGAACTATTTTATTTCTTTTTTTTTGTATTCTAGTTCCTGAAAAACAATGCTTCACATATTTGTGCAGTTTTATATTTACACCTTCTTGACTGGAATCAGAAGTCCCTTCTCTTGGGCTATTTTTTCTAACTTAAATAGCTGTTTTATATAACTATGACTACCTATTGCCACCCACATTTCCCTAGGTTGCATTCCCATTGCAGCCTTTTTTCTTTTGAGACTCACTGGGAAGCTGGATTAGAAGACTGTCCCAATCATCATCATTTGGTAGAATATGCCATTAAATTTATGATTCTGTTAGGAATAGAGATGTGAGTTTTAAAATGTCAGCCCATTACTGTCAACAGTCTAGAGAATGTATCAAGAGGTCAGTGAACAACACAGTTCCCCAAATAAGTTATTTTTAGCAGTAACAGGTTATCATAGACTTAGTCATTTAAACTATTCCAGAGAAATAAATTACTATTTTATGACACTAGATTTTAACATTGTAAAATATTCAAATAAATTTTCTGAATTATCTCAGTAACTTCATCTAAAAACTAACCAAAATATTTCATACCATAGTTTCAAAACCAGATTACCTATTGTCATAGTTCACATGGAAATAGGGAAATAAATAATAACTACCACACATAAGTCTTTCAAAAATTGTATTGTTTAACCCTAACCCTAACCCTAACCCTAACCCTAACCCTAACCTCACCCTAATGTCCTCATCCTCAAACAGATGTAGATGAACCAAAGTTTCTAAATTTCATGTAGTCCAATTTATCAAACGTCTCTTATATTCTTTTGGTGTACTGTTGGATTATTTTGGGGTCCAATATGTTAATTTGTTAAAAATTTAAGGGTAGTTATTTTATGTTTTAAGAAATGTTACTCTACATAAGCTTGAAAAGATCTTATTCTATATTACCTTTTAAAAACCCAATATTTTCTTTAATATTTTCACTTACAGTTGACTTGGTATTTAGATTTCTGTATAGTGGACCAAGGTCAACATGCAGCATCACTGTTACCCATGGCTCTGAAGTGTTGCCTTGTGGCATATTATGTTTCAATATTATCTGCTATGTGTTTCTAGAGCTTCTGTTCTCTTTGTCTATATGTGCACTAGTACCACATTCTGTTATTGGGACTTTATAATCAGTATTGATATCTAATAGAGTGAGTCCACTCATTTCTTCTGCTGCAAAATTATCCAGATGCTATTTACCCTTTACACTTTCATATGAATTTTATTTATTTTTTTTTAATTTATTTTCATCCTTTATTCTTGGCTATCTAGTTAGGGCAGGGTCAATTCTTTTCTTTTTTTTTTTTCCCATTTATTTTTATTAGTTGGAGGCTAATTACTTTACATCATTACAGTAGTTTTTGTCATACATTGAAATGAATTAGCCATGGATTTACATGTATTCCCCATCCCGGTCCCCCCTCCCACCTCCCTCTCCACCCGATCCCTCTGGGTCTTCCCAGTGCACCAGGCCCGAGCACTTGTTTTTAAAATCAATTTGTGTATGTTCACAAATACTTGTCCTACAGTGATTTACATCCTTCATTAAGTTTATTCCTAGGCATCTTTTAATGCCATTATAAATATATTCTTTTTAAACAAATTTTTGAAGTATAATTGACATACAGAGGACTGCACACATTTAGAGTAAACAATCTGATAAATTTTTATGTATGTATACATTCACCAAAAAATTCATTAGAGTCAAAATACTGAATCTATCCATTACTCCCAAAAGCTTTTTAAGGACTCTGTAATCTCTTATTACATCCCACCCTGTTGCCTCATCACCAAAAACCAACCAATTTGCTTTCTGCCCCTATAAGCTAATTTGCATTTTCTAAAAATGTATGTGACTTCAATTATACAGTATGTACACTTTTTGTCCAAATTCTTTCCCTCAGGATAAATTATTTTGAGATTCAATTACATGTAGCAGATACCAATGCTTCATTCCTTCTTTTTTCCCCCAATTGTTTACAAAGACACATTCTTTCATTTTCTTGGAAAAAAATGGATTTCTAAGATTATAATGGCTAAATAATGATAAAATATCTTTAAATATTCAATTTTTAAATAATATATTAAACATTTTTTTCAAACTTGTTATAATTCCCACCAATGTGTATATGAATTTCAGTTTTTCTATATCCTTGCAAACACTAGATA